ACTCTAATATAGCACATGACTCTTCTCATCTAAGGTGATGGACCATTTGAGATTTACACTTAAATTAATACATTCGGTCTGCTCCATAATTACTGGCACCCTTGGTAGAGACATTGTGGTTAATTAGCACAAATTCACACTAAAAAATCTGAGATAAATCTGAGGTAAACTTTTAATTCAACTCTAAGAAGTCTAAGAAAACAAAAGTGCTTATTAAAAATCTTATTTTTGAAAAATATACAAACCACATATATTATAACCACAATTATTGGCATTTAGTACTTTGTGCAGCCTCCATCTGCCAACGTAACAGCAATGAGTCTTCTCCTATAATGCTTGATGAGATTGGAGAATACAGATCAAGGAACCTGAGAGCACTCCTCAATATAATAATCAATTTCTGCAGAACTTCCAAGGTCCTGGGTCCTTTTTTTGGGCTCTCCTCTTCAGCTCACCACACAGACTTTTATATGGTGTTTGGGTCAGTGGACTGGAGTGACCATGTGTGGCAGCCAGATGTTCTTTTAAAATTACATTTACGGCATTTGGCAGACGCTCTTATGCAGTGCGGCATACAGTTTGATCATTTTTACACACGTAGGTGAAGGTAGTGTTAGGAGTCTTTTCCAAGGTCTCTTATTGGTATAGTGTAGGGTGCTTGCCTAGGCAGGGGATTGAACCCCAGTCTACAGCATAGAAGGCAGAGGTCTTACCCACTACACCATACCGTGCTGTAAAGTATTACAGCACTTCTTGGTGTCAAAACATCACATATCTTACATCATACTCAACACTGGAGATTCTTTTCTTTATAACCATCCTTCCTCACATTTAGTGTTTGTTGTCAAAATGGTCTGTTTTTGTCTGAGCATAGAAACTGCTTTCAGTCAAAGTTTCAGCAAACAGTGCTTATGTTTATGGTTAAACAAAAGAAAAGGCTTTTTTTGCATGCCTACCAAATAGTTTGTTGGTGTGGAAGTGGCATCTCATTGTAGTTTTGGAGACCCCAGAATGTTACTATCTTCTCCATGATCCTCCTCACTGTTATGGGGCAGGTTCACTACAGCTCTGGTTTTAAACGTCTTAATTATTGCCCTAACAGTGGAACAGTGGGCAATTTCAGGCGTGCAGCTAATTTTTTCCTAGGCATTGCCTGATTCATGAAGGTCTATACACTTTAGTTCATTCTCATTTTAGGGATCTATAATTGATTGTTATTCCTTGCTTTATAGGCGGATGTCTGGGGGCCTGGTCAGAAGGAGCCTGAAAAGTGTGGTTTCAGTAGGTCATAGGCAAAATCGCTACACAGTGTTTTTCTTCTCGATTGGAAGGTGGGTAATGAGAGGGTTTGAAGCACTTATGGGTAAGTAGAATATGCCAATGATGATTCAGCAGGCACGTTTCTCAACACTGACTTGCACCAGGTTTCTATGCCACGAGAGGCTGGCATTCAGAGGAATGAAGCCTGTGTTTTAGCTGACTAAGTAGCTGCACTTCATCCCTCCAAAAAAGAAAGTTGTTTTCTCTGAAACAGAGCTGATCTGTTAGTGGGCATGAAAGTTGGGTAATAATCCAAAAAAGAACTGAAACAAACATCATTGTTCCCTTTCTGAGTATGAACTAATCTCTTTGTGATTAATCTCATGATGGCAACCCCTTTAAGGTCAACACATTTAAACGTCTTGTGTTTCACCTCATGTGCAATATGCCTGGTCCAGCTCTAGCAATACAAAACAAACATTAACACTGTTGATGTTATGACAACAGCTGATAACATTTACTGACAGTGCTCTGGTATGTTTATAGTCCACTTCTAACACTCCCTTTCTCAATACAGATCTGGTGATCTGCCACGTTTCCTCCTGAAGTCCTTGATTGGCTGGATCAGATGCTTTAGTGTTAGGTATGGAAGGAAGCAGCATGTTAGATGAAGGTTAGAACTAAACTCTGAGGGGAAAATAGACCTCAGGAGGACGGTTGGTGCTCTAGTCTGTACTTTTTTAACATGTTTAATTGGAATTTTCGGAGGGGACCTTTCAGCTATGCTAACTTACATTACATCCATGGGCTAACAGCAGGGTTGTCTGCTGGACAGTGTTGACGAATGCACCACATTACCAATATTACCAGAATAGCTTTCCTCCACCTGCGTAACATCGCTAAATTAAGAAATGCACTGTCACTACAGGATGCAGAAACGTTAGTTCACACCTTTATTACGTCCAGGTTAGATTACTGTAACGTTCTGCTTTCTGGTTGTTCCAGCCAAAATCTTAACAAGCTTCAGTTAGTCCAGAACGCTGCAGCCAGAGTTCTCACCAAAACCAGGAAATTTGACCACATTAGCCCAATTTTGTGTACCTTACATTGGTTGCCAGTTAAATTCTGCATTCAGTACAAAATTCTTCTACTGATGTATAAAGCTCTGAATGGCCTTGCTCCTCAGTACCTCAGTGACCTTATTTCCTATTATCAACCGACACGTCCACTTAGATCACAAGGTGCGGGGTCATTATTAGCACCCAGAATAAATAAAGTTACGTCAGGGGGAAGAGCCTTTTCATACAAAGCCCCCCAGCTTTGGAATAACCTACCAGTCTGTTTTCGGGACTCAGACACAGCCTTCATCTTTAAGTCTAGGCTAAAAACTTACCTGTTTAGTCGAGCCTTTGGTTAATTTGTTTTCCTAACTATGTCCCTCTTATCCCCCCTCCCCCCCTAACCCCCCCCCCCTCCCTGAGCTGAGCGGCTGCCTGTTCTAAGAGGGTCTGACGTGACTGTTGCGGCCGGCGCACTGAACAGTGGTGTAAAACTGTATCCACTTATACTGTTTTGTGTCTGTGCTGTTATTCGGTGTCGACCAGAGGAGGATGGGTTCCCCTTTTTGAGTCTGGTTCCTCTCAAGGTTTCTTCCTCCTGTTGAGGGAGTTTTTCCTTGCCTTGTCGCCAAGGCTTGCTCACTGGGGGCGTGGACCCGGATTCTCTGTAAAGCTGCTTTGTGACAACATCTGTTGTAAAAGGCGCTATATAAATAAATTTGACTTGACTTGACCCTCACCCTCTACTTTAAGCTCACCACTTTTCTAATATGAGGCATTCTACATGTTAATTTTATTCTAACTTCATTCTCAGTGTTTCATGGCCTTCTCAGCTCTTTGCACACTTTTGTTTTTTTACAGCTTCCTATAAATTATTACACAGAAATGACTTCATGTGGTAAAAAGCAGTTTAACTTTATTTGTTAATTCAACACAAATAAATACTGATTGAAACAAAGCAAAGTAAATCTGTACATCAAATGAACGAAAATGATATTTTCATCAATTCAGATCACACAAACATTTCAACATCTGTGCTGTTGCACTTTTTACAGTGTAGTATTAGCATCATGTTATATGCACCAAATTGGTTTTATATTGCTGAAAACAGTGATTTCAAACTTTTGAACAGTAGTGTGTATCAAAAAATATTAATATTTTAAATTGCAATTTTATTTCAAGTATCAAGTGATAAAAAGATAATAAAATGATAATCTAATTAATAAGATTGTTACTTATTATTATTTCCTGAACAGTAAGCATTTCTTGATTGCGAGATGTCTGAAACACTGTGAGCATCACTAATTCCACCAGCAGCTTTAAGGCAACACAACTTAAAACAGTCACTATCCAGCACCACAGGAACAGGAAAGACTCCACTGCACTGGTCACTTAACACATCCTCTCGCAATCTCCAGTGAGTAAAACTTGGAGAAAACAAAAGAGGTTTTACCTTCTAATCCTAATGACTGCTATAAAATATCCTAGTATTCTATTGAATGCTATAAATATAGCAGTTCTGTAGTGGTTGGTATAGCATACTGCCCTCCACTTGGCAAACTGGGGGTCAATTCTTTGCTTGGGCCACCACACTATGCTACACTAATAAGAATCCTTGGGCTAGACTCCAAATGCTACACTCGCCTACCTCTCTAACACGATTAAAACTGTAAGTCACTCTCATTAAGAATGTGTACTAGAGAACATACAAATTGCATGTTTTTTTGTTGATTTTCCAAGTGAAAGTAAGTGAACACATCCTGTACTGGAAACAAACTTGGCATTTTACTGCACAATTTCTATTTATAACAAAGTTTAACAAAAACAGAACATCAAATATGAAATGTGCTGTTTGCACAGGTCACATTTTATGTTTTTTTTTCTATTACATTAAATTCAATAAACAGTAATTCTGCATTAAATTCTGCACATACCCACTCTGCAGAGAATATGTTAATATATTTTCAACAAAATATGTCATTTGATGGGGTGCCCAAACTTTTGCACACAACGATGAATGTAAATGTGAAAGAAATCAACACTTCTGCTGCTGATAGTGAATTGGGAACTTACACTGCATTAGTAAAAATGTCAGTGAGATGAGTAACCAATAGTGTGACAGATGGTCAGAAATTTCTGCCTGACAGGAATCACTTCAGTTTTGTTCATGGGCAGCCACTGTCTTTCGCAATTCAGGTCTAGTTTTGGGAGTGCGGTGCACCAAAGGAAATAAAAAGAGAAGGACCTTTTGCTGAAAATTGGCTTCTCAGCTTATTACTCAGTGTTAAACAGGGTGTAGGACGTTTTGGCATCTTTCAGTTTCCAATTTGCTCTTAGATTTCATTTTCAACATCCACTGCATGTAAAAATCCCCTGGGTATCAGCCATTCATTTCACAGTACAGCAAATAACTGAACATCTAAAATATACAGTAAGAACAAAACAAGTGCTTGAAAAACAGTCTTGTACAGTTGCTGTTTGGACCCCCTCAGTCGAATTATATCTTGTTGGATTTCGGAAGTGAACCTAAGTTAACACATCCACTACAGAGAACACACGTTTACATAATTATAATATATAAATAATTTTTCTGCACATTTTAATGCATGATTTCTATTTTTTTTGCTGAGTTTAACATATTGGATAAAAATAGTATATAACATATTGAAAAAAGTTATGTGCCATAATTTTGCACAGGCCCCAAATATGTTAAATTCATCAAAAAAGCAGTAATTGTGCATTCAAATGTGCATAAGTGTGTACTCTGTAGATGTTTGCACTTCAACAAAATGTAACTTGACCGGGGTGCTCAAACTTTTGCATAGGACTGCAAACTGTGTTTGTTCTTGTTTTGTTAACATGATAAATTAAAAACTCCTGATAAAAAAACAAAAAAAACATTTGCGTTAACCGTCAAGAATGGTGAAGGAGCGTCCGGTTCTGAAGTAGTTCTCAATCTCCTCCAGCGTTCGTCCCTTCGTTTCAGGCACGCACACGGCTGTGAATATGATGTTCACCACGCAGATTACACAGAAGAACAGGAACGGTGCAAACAACCCATAAGCGTCCTGTGAGAAAGAGAGTGAAATGGGTTAGAATGGGAAGTTGTAAGTTGTCACACTGTGGGAAAACCCAGGCTGTGGTGAATTATGTAACCCAGCCAGAACTACCATAACTGCTGCACTGTAACCTGCAGATAATGTGTTTAGAATAGTCAGCAGTTGCAGAAGACAAGCAAATCTGAGAAACTTCCAATATTGCATCAGATGCAGCCCATGATTCAGTTGACTAAGAAAAGGTCATTTGACCTTCTTATGATCCTCAACAAATGAGATTAGGCCTATAATGATTACTCCATTCAAATACGTTATTGATGAAAGTAAAAGCATTGATTAAAATGGATCTGAATATGACATCTTTTCTAGTTAAAACATGTTATGAAAATATATATAACAAGTCTCATTATGAGATTGATAAAAAGATGTAAGATTATTTAACATATTTCTTGTTTTACTTGTTTTAATTAATTTGTCAGGATAAATTACTCTTACTCTATTGGCAGATATTTTCAAGAACTAGGACTCTATCTATCTATCTATCTATCTATCTATCTATCTATCTATCTATCTATCTATCTACCTATCTATCTATCCTAAAATCAAACATATAAGATATATTCAGTGGATTTTAGATGATTTCACTTGGGCCACCACACTATGCTACACTAATAAGAATCCTTGGGCTCTGACCTATTTTAAAACTCTGATTACTCATCAGAATAATCTATAGATTACATGATTACTAATATAGTGAAGACCCTAAATATATCTGCTGTATCTCAGATCAGAAATCACACTTCCCAGAACATTAATGTGACACCCAGCCATTATGAAATGATGAGGGGAACTTACCGCTGCATGCATGAAGAGTTGCGTCAGTATGAAAGCAGTGACCCAGCTGACCACCACACACAGACCGGACGCTATGCCACGCGCCCCCAGCGGCAGGATCTCTGACATTAGCAGCCATGTGATTGGACCCCAACCCATCGCATAACCTGCTCAGAAGAAACAAAGAATGAACGATGATCTAGGAATAATAATCAAGTAACACTTTACCCTGCTGCACTACACTGACATAACCATGCCATAAACAGATGTCACCTGCTGTCATGCTGGTTTTTGTTCAGTAATATAACAGTGTCTTGTTACCATTACCTGTAATTCTCATGATGAATGCTATAATGCCATAATGTTTGACAGCTTATGTTTCATGCTAACAATAGTCAGCCATCATGAAATCAAACATTATTACAAATATTATGACACTTAGCAGCTGGGGTAAAATGACACTAAACAAGCTGTCATGACAGCATGTGAGATTTGCCATGACATGTTTATGACATGATTAGGTCACTGTTAAGTGACAAAGAGTTCAAGTAAAGTGTTATCAATAATCACTTAACACCTTTTATGTGTCAAAATTCAGAACTGAATGCTTTACTGATTTAGAGCAATATGAAATTATAGCATATTCAACAGTTACTTCACATAAGTAAACCACAGAAAACAAAATATATACAGGCGTCTGCAAGAATTTGATATATATATAACATGTGCCATAACTTTGCACAGGCCACATATTATGTTTTATTTTTTTAAAAAATTGTTCAAGCACCCATATTGTTATGTCTGCTCCACTCTGGACTCATTAAGACTGCTACTTACACTCATTGTCTGCACTGTGAGTTTGCGAAGTCTCTATGTTGCTACCTGTGTATTTTGCCTGAGTTCTTGGCCTGTTTCTTGTCTTTGTCTTGTGTTTTGAACCTTTCTTTTCTTTCTGACTTCATGTATGGATCTGCATCTTTTCCTGCCTGCCTGCATGTTGACCCCTGCCTGCTATGACCTTGAGTATCTGAATGCCCCTAATGAAGTCACTTTGCACTTGCAACCTGCCTCAGCCTCTATGTTACACATATTCTATATTCTTTATGTGCCAAATATAGTGAAAAAAAATTATTTTGAAACCTTGACAGTGTTTACATACTACATCAAACTCGTACATTCCAAAAAAGCAAGATCCAAGGTTTTCTACGATAAAGGCCCGTTATATTCAGCAAATAAACAGCACTTTACTGCATTATAACATGCAGAAGTGTGTTCTCTGTAGAGGATGTGTACTTACTTATTTTAACTTAGAAACACATGAAACACGGCTTGAGCCTGCAGTCAAATCACAGCCGAGATGCTACTCATGATATTCAAATAAATCCAACAAACAAAATGACGTGCACTCCATGATTCATTTAAAGGCCTCAGCAGTATGATTAACAATAACTACAAGGCACTCTGCAGGCTTGTGAATGCTGATCTGAATATATGCTGCAAAATGTATCTAGGCACAGTAGCACCAGACAGAATCGGAAACATAAAAGCTCGTTGTGTCTGCCTACATCAGACTGAAACTGTGCAGCAATGTGGAAGTTGGCAGGTTTCAAGATGGTCAGCACAAATTTAAAAAGTAGTGCAGAAAGTGAATGTAGCTCACGGTCCAGCCGCAGGACCTCAGAGAACAAAAACCATATATTCCCATTCACACACATTTAACAAAACTGAAAATGTTACACGGGGGTTTTGATGCTGCGCTTAACCTGGGTCTGATTTTTCACATTGTATGTAGGTTCGAAAATCAATAGAAAGCTGACATAATAAACACCCTAATAAAGGAGCGGCCTGAGAGAGGCCACCGCACACCAGCCATGCAGTGCAGTGCAGTGCTGCTACATAATGTGTTGCAGTGAGAGCGCTGATATACATTAAGTTCTACTCATATAAATTTAGTGAAATAATTATGTATAAAGCCTGGTTTCCGTTTACTACCTCTTCACAAGCTTGTCATTTTCGAGCTGAAAGATATGAGGTGAAAAAAGAAAAATTAGCTGAGGTAACATTAGCATTAGCATTTATCTGTTTGTCTAAAAGACTGCTTGTCGTTGTTTGTGTAAAAGCCACAGATCTACTGTGGCTTTCTTTGGTCTCAATATGACTTTATTTAATGTAATATTGGCAAAATGCTGAGTGGTATGCAGTGACGCGCTGAGCAATTAAACAGTGCTTGGAGTTGCCGAGCGCCAGCACGCATTGATGCCGAATGTCGGCACTGGTGTGCATACAGTCATTAAAAACACTGGTTTAAAATGTCTGAATGCTGACCGATGCAGCACGACATGTCCAGTGCTGACCTTGCATCTCTGTGTCTTTAAATTGTTTTTTATGGTGGTTCTCTTCAACTCTTAGAGTTATCTATCTAGGGTTATTGCCACATTCGCCATACAATTTACACAGATATTACACAATTATATGATTAATTATATAAATGGTTACATAATGAACTACATTTACATATTATTTACATTCTGGATCAACAGCTTCAAGACTGTACTTCTGACTTTCATTTGTTTCAATGTCAACAAATGACATTTGTAGCAAAAATGTCAATGATGTTATTCTTTCTATAAAGCAAACAAGACAAAGAAGTAACTTTTCTTCACATTCAAGTAATTATATCTCCTTTTATACTTACAAACACAAATTGAAAGTTTAGAATTTGCACTTTCCACAGAATTTACATATATCCACCTATTTGGCCTACAGCGGTTTAGCTTTGCCCGTTCACACTGAAGTTATAAGTAGTGCTTTTTGAATCAGCCATAATACAGGACAGCCAATCAGAACAGAGCCCATTGACATATATCAGTTTTACATCAACAACAAACAGCCTGTTTAATGGAAGGGAATAATAATGGTCATGCAAAAAATGAATGGAGAAGTAGACAAATTTGAACAGAGCACTCACCAAATATAATGACCATGGTGCTAATGAGGGGAACAAGTGTGATAGAGTTTGTGAGAGGTCCCATCACTGCTCCGTGTCCCTCTAACAGCCGCCCACTTGCCTGGACGGTAACATTGCTGGCATCACATGGTGTTTTGAGGGTGTACATGGTCATTGAAAGCGTGGCCAAATACATCAGAAATCCTGCAAAGACGAATGTACAGATTCTGTAATTTGGAGGGTCAACACACTAATGCTGTTTATAGTAAACCATCTACACCAGGTTTCAAAAGATATTATTAATAGGTATAAAAGCAGAACTCCATTACTACCGGTGTTGTGAGGAAGCGGTGAAATAGTAAGGGAACAGAATGTAGAGCACTATCACATAAATTATGAAGCTAGTTCACATTATTCTCACGTAAAGGGGAAGGGGGGGTGGGGGGCTCAAATATAGAGCAATATCTGCTACACAGCACAAACCTGATGCGAAGAGCAGAGTTTTTCTGCCAGCTCTATCCATTAAACTGGCAGCGATCATAACAGACAACAGTCTTACAGCTCCTACTAACGCTGCATCATACTTGGGATCCTACACGCAAAGAAAAAAATTACAAATTTAATGGTAGAGCATAATCAATATTCTATGGGCATAGTAACTTAGCTTAATAGCTTAAAGGGATACTCCAGCATTTTCAACTTAATCTCTATTATTTGCAGCATATGGTCGATCATCATGGACAATAATTCCAATTTGTTTCTGTGCACTAAGAAAAGAACAGAAAACCTTGAAGAACATATAAAAGAGAAGCCAATGGACAGTTGCAGAATATCGTCAATAAATATTAATGCGAAACATGTGTTTTTGTAGAACCTAATGCATTTGTTGGTGGTCAAACTGTGTTTTCTTTCAGACATGGGACTAGTTTTCTAGAGGGAAGTATCTGTGGTAATTCATCACAGGCATCACAGGCTCTGCCTGATCACTTTGGTGACCAGAAAATGTAAAAAAAAGTAACCAGAACTGCTTATTTACAGTGTTGCTTCAGCATTCAGACACTTCATAGAAGCACTTATGGTTTAACATTTCTGAGTGTAACATAGGGCTGGATGATACTGGCACAAAATGCATGTTCTATAAAGTCGTTAGATATTGCAATGGTAATAGGAGAAATGATAAATTATGATTAAGATGGTGTGTCTGACTGGATGTACAACATGCATAGACTCTGTTTTGATTTGTTTTCCGGTGTAATCAAACAAAAAGTGCAAAATTACAAAAGTACCGTTCACTATTGTTTAATAAAAGTAAAAAGCAAAATGAAAATAATGAATAGCTACTTACATCACAAATTTAATCACATTTCTGAGACTCTACAAGGCTGTTAGGAAAAGGTACTCTTTTTTCCTTTTCTTTAATTCCTTAAAATGCTTTTTCATAGTGATGCAAGTTTGTTGTGACAGTGCCTGTGTGTATATGCAAAGATTTTTGTCAATCCAATTGAATACATTCCGATTATAGATTAAGACTGAGATGTTTTACACACATCTCTAAGAGTGAGAACAGTCATTACATTTAAAGCACATTTACAGGCTCGTAGTTCAGGATAGTGTTCTTGTGCTGTGAGTAGCTGTATAGCAGAGTGGTTAAGTCACTCACTGTAGATGTCTGTTGAGGACAGCACACTGCTACACATACTGCTCACTAACGCTGCATGACCACCAATTTAATTACATCACTCTGGTGCTGCACTGATGTAATGTAATTTGGGCCTTTCTGTCATCGCATTGCATTGTGGACATGCATATATAGCAATAGCAACAAAAACATAATTGCCCTGTCCTCATGAAACACAGTTTCAAAATCGCATAATATAGTCTCATACTTCAAATGCTGATTCACAGAATTTAGCAACTGCTAATTGACTTTTGTTGACTCGTTCTAAGTACAAAGAATTGTGCTACAGTTTTTATCTTTGGTAATCGACAGTATAATACAGGTGCAGCAGATAGAGATCCAGCTGAAAAATGCTGGAGTATTGCTCCTTCAGTAAGCTTCAGGGTGCAAACTTATATCAATGCACAGAAACATGGTTAAAGTTATGTCTAGTGTTTGTACATTCATTTTTTTGTGTCACTTCGTATGAATAATGTTTCATATGACTCACCAGTAAAATGTTTGTTCTGAGGAAGATAGGCTGCAAATAAACTAAAATGGGTGTTATCCCTGTCATCTGTTGCAGGAATCTCATAAACACAGAGATTAAGATTGGCTTGTAGTAGAAAGGACTCCTGAGATCGGACCATTGTAATCCAACCTGGTGGGAAGAGTTTTAGTTTAAATTCATGCAAAAAGGGTAACTCTCCTGATGCTCTATATCTGCATACAGTAGTATTTGTTTTTGGGCTTGTTCAATTTAAAAAGGCGTGTTCTGTGTCCCCAAATGATGAGACACACTTATTTATGCAATTTCTATTGAAGCTGCTCATGTTTACCTGTGAGTTGACGCTGCGTTCAATTTGATTGAGCTCAGTCATGTAGTCTGAATCAGGCCCCCTGAGCCATTTAAGGGCCCTGCAGGCCTCGTCCCGTTTGCCGTGGGTGATGAGGTAACGCGGGGAGTTTGGCATGAAGCAGAGGAGGATTAACATAAGCAGAACGGGGAATTCCCCAGTTACCGCCAGCCACCGCCAATCCAAAACCAAGCCTGTGGAGCAAGTGTGGAAATACTGCAGTGCTGTAGTTTGTTCAAGGAAGAGTTCCCCAAAAGCAAGGAAGTTTCTCAAAAGCATTGTAGTGCAAAGATTATCTTATGCAAGAATATTTATGGTCCTAAAATCTGATTGTCTGATCGTGTAAAATGCTCAGTATACAGTCATGTTACCCATCATGTCATTATGTACTATATACTATATACTAGTGCTGTTAAAACAGTTAAAATCATTAATCATCATTAATTGCATTATTTTATCCATGATTAATCACATTTATTTGCTCAAATTTGATGCTAAAAAATTATTTTGTTCTATTTTAAATCAGGGCATTTTGTTACAGTTACATTAGCTTCACCAGAATGTACTGTAGCATTTCTATAGTTTTGTTCAAGGGAGAGTTTCCCAAAAACGTTGCAGTACAAATATTATCTTAAAATGCAATAATATCTTTTACAAAACAGATATTTATGGCTCTAAAATCTGATTGTCTGATTATGTAAAACATTCAATATGCAGACATATCCCACCACATATTATTGTGCAGATACTCAGGCTGTAAAATGATTAAAATTGTTAATTGTGGTTAATTGCATTATTTTGCATAGTTAATCACAATTAATCACAGTCATTTGCTCAAATCTAGTTTCACCAGAATGAATTTATGAATTTTAATATGATTTTAATATGATACACAGCGCTTGAGCAGCTGAGTTTCACCCTGTACTACTATGGGTGGTGTGAAGGGTCAAACTAGGAAAATTGGTCTAACAGCCCAAAAAAAGTGTTACATTAATAATTTACCATGTTGATGCATCATTAATACATCAATGCATTAACTTAGACGTCACTAGCAATAGTAGTTAATTGGTAGACCACTGTTTACAAACTGCATGGGTTTGCAGAAGAATTGTTTATTGTGATTATTATTAATAATACCTCAAATCATTTATTGAACATCGGTTGTGCCTAACAACAGTAGAATCACTGTAACACACAGCCTCCTGTGGCTTATCGCCTTATTTGGACACTTTGGCTAATCGTAACAGTAAAGTGCCTTTGTAAAACTCATCCCTCAACATGTTAAGCCACTTTCACAGATTTTCATACATAGATAAATTCACACAACACCTCAGTGTAGCTTAGTGTAGCTTTTTGTAAACACCATTAATTTCCCTTTACATTCCACTGAATCCATGAACACCCAAGTTCCGGTGACACGTCACATGGTGTGAAAGAAGCTATAGCGCTCCACAGAAAACAAAAAAGTGTACATCTTACCAAGAGCATAGAGTGCCAGACTTCCAAAGACAGCTGTGATCTGAGGGCAAGATCCCAGAGCACCTCTCACACCTGGATGTGAAATTTCTGATACGTAGACCTGCAACATTCAAACATGCCTGATGAAAGTCAGTGCTAAAAAAAGCCTTTCTAAATAAAAGTTTCACTCAAAGAACAGGTATACTGCAGTCTTTATAGGTCTCTGCCACTATGTAGACTGTTCTATAAGGAACCATTCTTTTAAAGGGTTCTATGTATCGTTGCTTTCAGCATTAAAAGTGTATGTCAGTGAGAATGTGCTTTAAAAACAATCAAATCAGAAGAGCAGTGTTACTGCTGAAGTATCTCAGTATTTAGTTTTGGTTGAGTACAAAACCCCTTAACCCCTAATTTAAATATTATATCTACATAACTTTCATGATGTATTGTAGTTATTGAGTAATTTATGGAAAGTACTGACTACTGAATCTTTGCAGTCAGTTAGTCAGTAACTGTTTAATAGGAGAGTTTAGATTGTATCCACTGATCCTATATACAGTACTTTTAGGCCATCAAGTGATATAAAGCTATTATCTGGGCAGTAAGTGTTTATTTCTGCAAAAGCACTTATAAAAGAATTTATATAAATATGTATTTGTTTTATCTGATTAAGTTTTCATTATATTAAATCAGGTGTGTTGCTGAGTTCAGCAACCTGTGTTTTTCTAAAAGTATTCTTCTAACCAAGACATTAATAACTTTTAAAATAAAAACTTGTTATATTTTACTGTATTTATTTATATGTATTTTATTGTTATACAGTGTTTTATAGAAAAAAACACACTTACTGCTAAGATTTTTAAGGTTTTCTTGGCTGTCTCAGACCTTAGCACAGTACTGCAAACCAGCAACTTAACTACACAAGTGAACTTAATAAAGCACAACTACTAACTGCAGTGTTTTTAAATGCATTCAATGTATTTTGATCAAATGCGTACATCATTTCTGCATGAGTAAAATATATTACCTTTAATATATTACATTTATTGCCAAAATTGAGTGAAATGAAAAACAAAATTGCGTTGACAGGATGTGATTTCTATCAAAATTAGATACACATTTCAATCTAGTTAATTCAGTGTACTCTTCTACCATGGATCCTAGAACTCCTTGATTTCTGCAACAGAACAGTAAAGCAGTTTATTTACTCCTCCTGGCTGTGTCAGAATTTGACAGCTTCTCTGTGTTTAACTAGGGGAAAGAGAGGGAAATGTGAGATGGCCTACAGGAATGGAGCTGGCGGTAATTCCACCAGCAATGCCGGTGAGAAATCTGCCCAGGAGGAGCATCCAAACGTTCTGCGCTGCGCCCATCAGAAGGTAGCCTGCAGTGGATGGCACTACAGATAACATGATACTCAGCTTTCGTCCAGTTCTGTCGTTCATCAGCATTGCGCTCAGACCCCCTGCTGCAGCTCCAAGTGTGAAAATAGACTGGTAAATACAGAGGGAAAAAACAGTGACACAAAGAAGAGGAACATCACTGCCTGCACACATGTTATATTTCCTTCCTTACAGATTAAAGCTCCTAAAGCAAAAAGCTGTTCTTACACCAAACCAGGAAATCTGATGGGTGTCCATGTGCAGACGTGGGTCATCACTATTTCTGAGCTTGGGTATCACCGGTGAGGGATACACCAGAGAAAATCCGAAGTTAAAATTGCCCAAAACTGCAGAGAACACTGCGAGGTAGAGCCAGCCATTTCTGGAAGAACACAGATTTGCAGTCTTTCAGTTCCTCAAGAACAAATGTACATTCGTAAAGGGGAAGTCCACCAATTTTTCCAAAATTGCATATTTAAACAGTTGAGATGTAAACAGTCTTTCACAAAGGTTTGGTGGATTTATGATCTTAACATTAGCAACATTGACTGGTCATTTTGGATAGTGAATAACCCTCTCTCTCTCTCTCTCTCTCTCTCTGTGTATATATATATATATATATATACATATAGCTTATATATATATATACATATATATATGTATATATATATATATATATATATATATATATACATACACATACACATATACATACATACATACACACACACACACATATATATATATATGTGTGTGTGTGTGTGTGTATATAAATATTTACATAGACAGTGCAAACCCTGGTTTCTGGTTTCTATCACCATCACTGTAAAGAACTCTGAGTCTGAAACTTTTTCTACAATTAATCATTTGACATCAAAGCATGACATGAGTTTGTTTACATCTCAACAATTAAATTATGCAGAATATTTAAAAAATTCTCCTTTAGCTTAGACCCCCAAAGGAACATAATGTCCTAGTTATAAATTAAAGAAATACAAAATAAATCAGCAAATGTGACAAATAAGCAAATTTATCTACTAAAAAGTCAAGAACAAACCACATATTAAAACAGAGTCACCTTATTTGTTTTGGCTGATTGAGAAGTAGTGGAGTTGTTTCACTGCGTTCTGTCACCATCGCTTCTCACTCACCGACTGACAGTTTCAGACACTGACAAGAGAAAAATAGGTACTTTATTGGCTATCTTGGGTTTTTTCACCCAGGAGGCTGGACACAAAGAATTGAGGAAGCTAGTAAATACCAAGCCTTTCCGGGAACTCAGTGGCGCTCTCGCCTAAAGCACGTCTGTAGTGTCATTTCAAGTTATGCAATCCATGTAATGCAATAGCTCAAGGCACAATAGTCCTGAAGGTGTCTGTACTCCAAATGAACTTTCACTGTAATTTCTTTAATCCTTAGGTAGGACTGGTTCGTTTAAAAAAATGCAGTACAAGTAGACGCAAGAAGCATGCACAGTGTGTAGAATGCAGACATGAGGCAGGTGCAGGGCATCAGAACAGTCCTTTGTATTTATTGCTGACTAGGATCCCATTTCAATTCTCTTTTAGCATGCCCTCGCTAACTTTGACTCACCTCTTGGAAGTGTTTTACACCAATGTAATGCAAAACCTTTTTTTGATTTTCACTGCTCAGCAAGAGCCCTGCGATGGACTGGCGACCTGCCAGGGTGTATCCTGCCTTCCGCCCAATGACAGCTGGGATAGGCTCCAGCACCCCACCGCGACCCAGAAGGATAAGCGGTTTAGATGCTGGATGGATGGATGCTCAGCAAGATTGCTATCAGACAGTAAAAAGACTAGCTTTAATGGCATAAGAAATTGATGTAGACATATAATTATTCTGAACTAACTACTGAGAAAGCTGTAAACTAAAAGGCTAACTAAAACAATACACTTACATAAATTATTTAACAAAAACTCTATATTGTCTACCGGGCTGGGGCTATGAGTAGATCCCAAAAAGCAGTGCCAGCTCTATCTAAGATAAGATAATCCCTTATTAGTCCCACAACGGGGAAATTCCCAGTGCTACAGAGGTAGTCCAGGATTCAATTTGATAGGTGGTGGTCCACCCCTGTGCTCTCCAGCTTGTCCCTCAGGAGCCCAGGCTGTATGGAGTTAAAAGCCCTGGAGAAATCAAACATTTCAGTGATTCCAGGCTTCTCCAGGTGAGAAAGAGCTCTGTGTAGGAGGTAGAAGACTGCGTCATCCACTTCGATGCAAGGCTCATCAGAGGGCTGAGATATTCAGGCTTCTCTAGTATTTTCCTCAGGTGCAATGTCAATGCCACCAGCCTGTAACTGCTAAGGTTCCTTGGGTGCTGTGTCTTCAGCACCAGTACCACACAAGATGTCTTCCACAGCTGTGGTACTCTCCCCAGCTTCAGGCTCATGTTGAACATGTATTCAACTATTCCACACAGCTTCACAGGACTTCAGGAGCCCGGCACCGATGCCATAATAAGCGATAAACAGCTGCTTAAGGCCCCGGGGCTGCCAGGGCCCCCCTAATAACTCCTTCAGCTTCACTTATTACTTTACCATTATGTTGTCCAAGATGTCTGAGTGAGGGGAAAATAGAAACTGGTTAATTATGTCACAAAAAAGAACATACATGTCTGGAGCCGGAACAGAAAAGAAAACAGAATAGATAGAGAGAAGATAAAAAGATAAAGGTATGTTCTTTTTTGTGGTATTAATGCTATGCCAATGTTATACCATCTGGGTTCAGATACTCAGGCTAGGGGTAATTCAGGTTTAGATACTTAGACTGTGATTAATCTGGGTTTAGACACTTAGACTGTGATTAGTCTGGGTGTAGATTCACAGGCTGTGATTTATCTGGGTTTGGATACTCAGACTGTGATCAGTCTGGGTTTAGATACTCAGACTGTGATCAATCTGGGTTTAGATACTCAGGATGTGGGTAATTCAGGTTTAGGTACTCAGACTGTGAGTACTTGAGGTTCAGATACTAAGGCTGAGATTAATTCAGGTTTAGATTCGCAGACTGTGATTAATCCAGGTTTAGATATTCAGACTGTGATTAATTCAGGTTTAGATACTCAGACTGTGATTAATCTGGGTTTAGATTCACAGGCTGTGATTCATCTGGGTTTGGATACTCAGGCTGTGATTAATCCAGGTTTAGGTACTCGGACTGTGATTAATCCAGGTTTAGATACTCAGGATGCATTTCATCCAGGTTTACATACTCAGGCTTTAATTAATTAAGGTTTAAATACTCAGACCATGAGACTGTGAGAGTGACATTTATGATAAAAAGGCAATCATGTGAAACATGAGGAAAAATTGCCAAAGAATGAAAAGGAAATCATACTACTAAATATGTAGAAATTAAAACATTTATAGTGGTAAAAAGGGGAGACAGGAAACTTTACTGTTTAGCTAATCTATCTTCTGTTAGTCAGTTAAGTTAATTTAGCTACAGTTAGCTCTCCAAGTTGCCTTGCTGAGATAAAGTTCACTGTAAAAAGTGGCTCATCAGATCTTACTTAAAAAATTACTTCACGTGGAAACAAGCAATTAAACTAGTTTTATTCAACTGAAAAAAATACATTGAATGACGAGCCACTTTTAACAATGTATGTCAAATATTCACAACATAATAATATGCTTTTATTTTGCTGAATTTCCATTTTTATGTCTTGACTTTTGGAATCGATCATTTAAAAAATATATTGTTTAGAATCGTTATTCTGGAGTCAACTCTAGAATTTTCAGAATTGATCAGTCCGAAAAGAGGCTGAGTGTTTTTTTTTTCCTACCCGTATTCCGACAAAATACCGCCCCTCTGTGATGCGGCTCGCTCATAGTTTTGTATCCAAACGGCGGATTGCTGATGTGTGTGAACTTCTAGCCAATCCCAGTGCAGGAAGAGGGACTTTCTAACCAATCCGAGCGCAGGAGGCGGGACTTGTCAGAATACGGGCGGGAAAACAAATCACGCCCGTTTAACGTTTCCTAGCACTTTCAAAACACAACGTCCTGGAAGATCCCTGAATGACGGGGCCAACAGCCTGAAGTTACACATTATGGAAAATTATGTGGTAACATTAACTTTTTAGCCACTGCGTGGTCTACTTCCTGCGGCTGCTTAACTCTTCACTAACTATGAAACAGTATTTTTGTCTTTTTTGTTAAAATTAGTGTAGTGAATTAACCACTAAGTGCTAGCGTACAAATATGGCCAGTGTAAGATAACTAATAGTGAACTGGCTAGTGCATGTGCTAAGCTATCAATGGCTAAATCTGTTCTCTGCACTACACAGGTCATGAAATAATGATTTCTACATCCAGATAATTCATGTCCACTCTCCATCTGTTTTCAGGTCATAGACACTATGTGCCCTGGATCCTATGGTGTGACCCTGTTTGTAAAAGACAGGGATTTTGGCCTGGAACATACACTGAAAAAGGTACTGAATAACACTTTAGACGTATTAGTATTCATAGCAAGATAAATGTCCTTTCTAAAGCCGTATTATTCTTTTTTAGGTGGAGTGTTTGGATGAAAGCAGAGCCAATCAAGCTCTGCAGGAGGTATTGACCCATCTAATTACAAATCCACCAGCGTTCCCTTTTAACTCACAAATGATGGGAATAACACACCGTAATCAGATTTTGTGACGAATTATCTTTCGTTGTTTTTGTTGCTTTGATTTGCAATCGGCCTCAACTGTGTGCTCTTTCTCTAGGCTTTGTGTCTGTTAAATATGAATCACCCCAACGTCGTCAGATACAGAGAGCTATTCATATCTTGGGACAGAAATGTATGACGCATTAATTAATAGAAATGCAAGCTTTTGTCATTTTGTTTATGTTTTGGTAAATAATTGGCTTATTATCATTTGATGAAAATGTGTCATTACAGATATCATCTGTCATGCTTTCAATGGTGATGGACTGTCCCTGCACTTCAAGCCTCAAAACAGCCATCGCCTCCCACCGGCAGAAAAAAGAAAAGTTCAAGAAAAAGGTGTGGTGTATATCTCAGACAGATGGAAGTGCTGAAGGTAGTCATGTGTTCACAAATAATATATGGCCACATTATTTATTACATGTTTTTTTTTACCCAAACTTATGGTCACAACTTACTGTACTACACTGAGTTCTTTGTGTAGTAACATCATGCTTGAAACATGCTTGAAAGACACAGGTCTACAACCATACGCTCCGAAAAATAAAGGTGGCAAAAAAGGGTTCTTTGTAGCAAGGCTATGGAAGACCCACATTCAGGCCCAGCGTCAGGGACCAAATGACCAAGTGAATCCACTAGTTTACACATATCTTTTATGCAGCAAAAAATTAAAGTGAAACAGCACTCTGTGTGTGCAAGTGTGTGCACTGCTGCACTGCTTGCTATGCGTGCGCTATATTAAAGGCCACGTCAAGCAACCTCAAGGGTTTACATACATCACTTTGTAATGGCTGCATTTTAGGCAGGTGCTGTAGGGAAGATAAATTAGCAGACAGATTTCCTAAAACCTTTCATAAATTGCTGTAAATGTGGCTCTCCTGTTGATTCTTTACTGAATGCTGTGAGGAGCACTGCTGTAGATCTAATGTAGATTTCTCACCCCATATTGATTTATTTTTGTTCTGGCAGCATGGATGCAGATATTTTCTGGTGCTGGTTCTGGCCACATTTAAATTGCCAAAGACCCTTTCAGTTGATGGATATTAAGAATCATTTGTAAGATCAGACCATGCCTCCAACCCTGGACCTACAGTCGTGCATAAGTTTGTTAATTTTCTAAGTGAAAATAAGTGAACACATCCTCTACAGAGAACAAATTTCTGCACATTTTAATGGACAATTACTGTTTATTTGCTGAATTTAACATTTTGGGAAAAATATAAAAAATGAAATGTGGCCTGTGCAAAAGTTATGGCACATTCTGTATTAAATATTTTATTTTTTCAATATGTTAAACTCTGCAAATAGATAGAAATTGTGCACTAACATTAGTAGAAATTGTTATATTTAGGTTTGTAGACTTATTTTTACTTAGAAAGTCAACAAAATGTTCTTTGACTGGGAATGTTAATATGAATGCATGGGGGAACAGAGGAACAGGGAGGGAAGAGGGACGCTTTGGTGCAAAATCTTTGTTACAGGAAATTAAATGTAAAGATGGAAATT